GAGCGGCTTTGTGATTACGAGTTGCATCAGCGCCGGCACGACATGCAAATGTAACGAGACAGAGAAGGAGTGTAAGTGGGTAGAAGTCAAAGGAAAAGAAAGGAGAGAGAGGCGATGTTATTAGAGGAAATGAGCGAGAGAGTTGACATAGAGAGACACACGGAGAAAGGGAGAGAGGAAGGCAGGCATCTTGAAGGCAGCGGTCACACCTGTCACATCCCATTTATCTAATCCAGCGCCTACTTAAAACAGCCGCACTCTTTCTTTCGAGAGAGATGTCGCGCAAACAAAACAAACAGAACAAAAATACGGTGGGGGGGAGACGGAGAGAGAAATGGGGGGTGGAGTCAGGGGGGTGAGGGATTCTTTTTTCGAAAAAATCTGCCAGAGAGATGTCATCTCACTGCGTCCAACAATGAAGGTCATTTCCCAATCAAGAGGAATTAGCAGGGGGCCGTGGCTTCTTCAAAGATCTTGTAAATTAGGGCCCATGACATTATTTATGTGTGAAGTCAGACAGACAGCCTTATCCCAGAGGCAACTTAAATGGCTTATGATTTACAACCCCCCCCCCCCCCATTCAAACCTCCCAGCATATAATCCATGTGCCCTGCTGACACTCTTACCCCGGCTATTCTGCAAAGTCCAAGACAGAGGGATCAGAAAGACAGGAGAGATCCTCTATTGTAAGCGGATGTCACTCACTGCTTTGACACGGGCTGCAAAACTTTTTCTCATCAACATGCATTTATTCACCAGTACAAACAGAAATCCTGGATACTGTAAACGTTCGTGCCCTCCACCCTGTGCATGCGGTTGATCAGGTTTTTTTTTTTTTGCCATTTCTGTGTGTACATGTGTGACACTGTGAGTGCACATAGCCTGTAGGTGTGTGTGTGTGTTTATGTGCGAGTGCCTGCATATATGTATTTATATGCACTGGATGTGGCAGGCTGGCAGTGTGGGCGGTTCTGCCTTTAGTTTGCAGATGTCAATTCTCTTCCAAAATGACTGGAACAAAGTAAAAATTGCGCCTCACTCTCTTTATCCTTTTACTGCCTCTGCAATGGAACCGAATTAAACAACTTTTGTCTTCTTAAGCTCATCTGTGAGGGGTGGTTGGTTTAAAAACACATAACTCATGCCAAAAAAGAGAGAGGGGGGGAATCAAATGATGTTTTTTTTTTTCTACAGCCAGCACAGATGCTGCTGTTAATGTTCTTCTTTTTCAAATTCTTCCCTTCCTTCTCTGTTGAGACTCTATTTCTTCCTCTCCTTCTATCTCTACTTTCATAGCCTGACATGTCTCGGGCTGTGCAAGGTGTATGTGTGGAAAAACAATATTTGATGCTTGGCGCGTCGTTGTGGATCAAGGCATGGACAATGTGGCAGTAGGAAGAGCTGGAAACAGCTGCTCAACTGAAATACTCGCACACAAATACACATCTAGAGAATGTCACTGATCACTCCTGCAGGGGGGTAAGGACTTAGCTCCACTGCCAGAGCTGCCAATCTCCACCACATGCACTTAACACACCTCCGATTACACTGCCAGACACACACACATGTAGCAAATCCCTTTACATGCCATGGCTAAACACAGACACTGTCAGTTTTGACTCCGAAGTCCCTCAGGCTGGGACAAGCGAAAAAAAACACACATCCTCCTGTTCCAACAATATGGTGGAGCTTTTCCCCCAAAATAGATAGCCTTTTTTTTTTAAACGTGGTATATTAAACAAAAAAATGTGTATTGTCCACGAATGACACACCTGCTCTTTCCTTATCCAAAAACAAACATGCAGCTGTATTTTCTGTATTTTAAATAGCAGTTTGGCGAAAATGCACGCCAATATATTTTACCACGACCCCTCGCTGTTGACAGGCAAGCGTGTGTTGATTCATTAGTGCATCACTGGCATGTGAAATTAAGTGTGACCACTGTGTCTCAAGACTGCTCAATGACTGTGTTAAATCTGTCAAATTCACATATACACACACACACACACACACACACACACACACACACACACACACACACACACACACACACACACACACACACACATAATCACACATAATCACACATACAAATGACAAAAAAAAGAGGGGAAGAGAGGGCTCGTGGAGGAAAAATGAATAAGAAATAATGCCTGATGAAATATCTTTATAGTTTTCAATCATGGCGAGTATCTCGCCTATTAATGAAATAATTAGTGTTTGTGCATTAACACATTCATGAGAGAAGATGCTTGCCTCTGTATGATGTGAAAACAATTTTTTTCGTCAAGGATTTGCCAAACACAAACATAAAAGACTTAAAAGAAATCACGCAAGAAGGATATTTTTAAATGCACGCGCATCACCAATTAAATGCACCTTTTTAAGGTAATCCATTATTTTCAGAACTGTTTCAGAAAATGTCTATCTGTACTTACTTTTTGTATCACAACTGGATTATGTGTTGATTGGCTGACCTCACTGAACTACCACTAAAATCCTTCCCATCAGGCATTTGAACTGAACTATTATCAGCCAATCAGGGTCCAGCAGCACGGCGAGAGCTTCACATTCGATAAAAAGCCCATTTAGACAAACTACATTCATTCGCAAACCATTATGAAAACATTATTCTCATGTAGAGCCAGGGTTCGTACAAAAACAACATTTGAAAAAAGAGAATAATGTGGCACTTTCAGCTTTAAAAAAATGTGAAAGTGCTGTTTTTTATTCTGTGTGTGTGTGGCAGCTGCAGCAGGCAGGTAGAGCGGCAGGCGGGATGAAGAGGTCAGTGTGTGGCTGAGCGCTTCTCCTCCGCCGTGTTAATTTACTATGACAAGATAAAGCTGTAATCTCGTCTACCCCCCCTCTTTCTCCTCACGCTCTCCCCCCGCTGCCTCACTTCCAAGTCAACCGGTCGCAGATGAGCCATTTACTTCCCCCTATTACTTTACGACAATTGCCCTGGGAGAGATCCCCACCCCACCCCCTTAGAGTCCCACCGACACCCCCGCCAAGCTGTAAATCTCCCCTCTCCATTTCTCTTCATCCACTTTTCACTGACAGTCAGCGGCAAAGGGATTGGCACTGTAACCCCTCCCCCCACCCAAAAACATAACGTAACACACATTTTACAACATGCCAAGCAGGCAGTCGGATAAGCCCCCGGTCCACCTGCTAAACACACACACCACTTTATTAGTCACATCAGCTATTATGCTATGTATGCCCCCCTCCCCCCACACACACACACATCAAAGCTGTGACCCTTCTGCTGTCAAGTAATGGACTAGAAAATAAGTTGTGTATGATTCATCATATAGTTCAAGAGGGGTCTCTTAATAATGTCCTGAGGAAAGCCAGTGATAGGGCCAATCTTTTTTTAAATATTAATAATACTTATGCTTGTAATTTGTTTGATTTAATTACATTTCAGTATAAATATAAAGATATATTTAAACAAACAAAGGAATAATCCAATACCTGTCCTGAACAACAAAAGATAATACAGTGTGTGTGTGTGTGTGTGTGTGTTTGTCCCAGGACTTTGGTTTACAGTGGGCACCAGCAGCCACACATGCAGAGTCCACAGTGGGCGGGGCCTGACAGATAATCAGAGGGCTAATTACAGAATTAGCTTCCATTACGGCTCCTAAGCACTGTTTCATTGTTTTACAGCATGCAGGGCTTTTATCATCAGCATGGGGGAAAGGTCGACGGTGGTTATCAAAACACCGCTGTGACAAGGTGTGTATCAAGATCAGGGCCCAGGGGAAGCTAAGACAGTAAATTGCACACTGTAACTGTAAGTGAATTATTATAAATGTGGGTACAAACACATTTTAAATAAGTCCCTTAACAGACACCCTTAAATGTTAATGACATATTCTCGGGGTGGGGAGTCCACATTTTGTTGCGCAAACCTGATTTTAAAAAACAAAATAATTCATACACGTAATACCCTATTGAGTCACATCATCACACTGTACTGAACATGATTTGTAAATCGCGCCGCATGTATAGAATGTGGAATAAGCCCGGATACAGCGAGGCCTAGCTCATATTTAACATGAATCACGGAAAGATGCAATTCAACTGTACAAATACACACACAGATGCACTTACACACACAGCGCCATACATCCAGCACCACCACACAAAATGACTCACTGCAATGCCTCACATTTTGCAGTCACACAACTGTGCATCAATCGGGCTCAAGGCGAAGGCTGGTGGCACGTTCATAAAAGCAAAAACACGTGTGCACCAAAACAGTAGCCTTGAACCGTCATTTTTTCCCGTTTTCTGAATAAATATCAACATTTCTGCCTCTGTAGAAATCTCACTCTATTCAGTTCTGAATCACCCAATATATATCTTGTTATTGTTGATTAAGTTGTTTTGTATTGGGGTTTAAAAGTTGAATCTTAGTAGCCAATAGAGAAGTAAACAACATACCAAAGATATGAGTCCAGACTGTATAAGCCTTCATTTTGAAGATATTTCTGGGCTACCACTGCCATTATTTAAGTGCCAGTGTTGAAAGGAGGAGACAGAGGGAATGAATGAAAAGCAATAAAATGCTTTTACTTTAAACACCATTTCAGAAGACACTAAATAAAAAATGTCAATGATGTTGAATTCTCGCTAAATAAGTCTAACTAAATATTTTTTTAGTTTTAGAGTTATAGCTCACAAAATGTTTATGGCGGATGTACACAATAATGATTATAATGCCAAGTCAAAACTTGAGCGTCACCTTTTAAAGCTTTTATCTGTTTACATTATGGCAAAATGGCCGCATTAAAAGTTTGCCGACTTGGCTTGTAGCAGTTCCAGTTTGCAGTGTTGCCATGGATATACAGTCATTTATTATTGGATGACTTAGACACTGAAGGACACTTAGAAACGCACAATTTCTCAATCCTGCTCCATTCCACCGGCATCAACAGGTGGGTGCTTCCACAACACAATAAGCAAAAGAGGCTAGCTGTCCTTACCATGTTGGGGGGGCTGTCCAAGTTGCGGTTGTGAGGCGAACGAGGGGACACCTTGCCGCAGTAGGAGGCCAGGGGTAGGTGGATGACACCGCCCAGTCCCTCGCTATCCTCATCCTCCATTCGCTGTCTGCTGGTTGCCATGGTTACCTCTCCATCTGTCCCCCCATATGGAGAGGCTGGTCGCTTGGAAGACATCCTGGAAAAACAAGGGAGATAGAAAGACAGAGGGAGAAGGAAAAACAAGAGTGAGCAATATTCAAAGGGTGATATAATGGCTTGACGTCTGGAGTTATATGATGGACGTTTCTGTGGATAAGACTAGTTCCTGGAACCTCCTGGATAGCCTGATCCAACTTGAAATCTACTTTGCTGTGTGTTAACTGTTAAATAACCTAGCATGAAGACATATTTCCCCCAGCAAGTATACAACACATTCATTCAACCATTCTCTTTCCTCTGGATTTGATTTTGTGTTTGTCTAAAAAGTTATTTCAGTGGACACAGCTCTCAAAGTGAAAGTCCAGACAATATCCCCTCAGTCAGTCTGTGAGTATCCAGCTTTCTGGCAGACCTTCAAACACACTCTCAGGTCTTACAGTATGTTTACCACGGGGGCCATTCAACGGTCACATTTCCAAAACACGGGGCCATTACTGCAAATGGAGCCCGCTTGCACTGGCATTGTGGAGGAAATGACCATGTCTTGACAATAGGCTTTTCAGAGAGAGAGAGAGAGAGACACACAGAGTGGGAAAGAGTAGAGAAATAAGAGGGAGAGAGTGAGAGCAGTATATGCACGGTGGCAATAATTTGTGTTTATGAAAACCTCCGGACAATAGGAGAACCGGAGGAAAATAGCTAGCAACGCGAAGGCCCCGCTGTTTGCATTTGTTACCATGGCTTTGTTCCCTTGAAAAGAAAGAAAGAATATAAAGCCACATCTATTAGGTGAACTCTGTCTCTCACAAGGTACATTTGCCTCCCTGTACTTCAGCTGAATAGGGATGCAGTGAATATGCAGCAATAATAGAATTTAATGTGGTTCTCAGCATCGCCTGAGTGCTTTCAGATGCACTTGTCAGCCTTGAAGGCAGTGCGACTATGACCCTGGGTAATAGGCTGCTAAAGCTCAGTCGCACAGAGTGTGACAGGGATGGGGGCGTGGAGGGGCCTGTGAAAACTTGAGGGGATGGTTGAGTAATGGGACGCGGTAAAAAAAACGCGGAATAAGCAACAGGCGTTTGGCTCTCGTAGTCCGCTCATTTGTTTTCTCCGTTAAATTTAACAAGCTGTTTTCTGCTCATTCTCTCCTTCACCTACTCCATCATATCTTCATCTATACCTCGCCTGTGTCTGATTGGCTCTTCCTCTCCAGCCTTGCCCTCTCAAATTCTTCCCCGCTCGTCTCCGGTAAACTGATTACACTCTTGACTCTATTGGATTTCCTCTGGACTGTACATCTGGCATTGTTCCTCGGAGCAGCCCTGCCACTAATTCATTGCTTATTTACCTTATGACAGTGGAAGGGTAAACGATATTGAGTGCTGCTCACCGGAGGCGATGAGGAGAGCGCCACGCTAGGAAACGCAACATGCGCCCTTATCACATCACGGGAAGGATACAGTAAAAATCAAATAATCTCCACTTCAGAGATACCAGAGAAAACTCTTCACCACACTGATGTAATTTCATTACCTTTAATTGTTTTCGTTAGAGTTTGCCTGCAAGAGTCATAGAACTCACAGATAACCTAATAATTGAAACCAATTTACAAATTGGTGTTAGATTTGCATATTGCTGAGAACCTTTTTATCTAGAAATTTTAAGTTTTCAGAAACACAGATAAGCAATTTGTTTTTTTGTTGCAGGTTTTTATAGATTGTATGATTATATCCACTTATAGGTAGCCCTTAATTACCTTTGAAGTTAATCAGGAAAATCACCATTACAGAGACATAGAGCTTTGGCTATTCAATCAAATTGAGCAACGATCTTTAATAACCGTATTGAACTCTTTGGTTAAGGTTATAATAATCCAATTCTATCTGTCACAAATATGCTGACAGAATAGAAATCCAGTAACAACCACACATACATATCTGCTTTATCTGTTGCTCCTGGACGCTGTATCTCTGTGGACTTGCTCAGCAAGAACTGAGGCCATAAATGACCAGTAAAGAGTTTGTCATTCTTTCTATGACAAAAGATTGAGGAGATAAAACCGCTCACTGGTATGATTAAATAATATCAGACCGGAATTGACATTTATGATGCTTGCGTTACAATGACTGAGGAGAAATAAGTGTGTGTGTGTGTGTGTGCACGAGGATCTGTTGTTCCACACACCATCCAATAAGAGCGGGGGGTCCAGCTGTACAAACTGCAGGGCTTTGAGCCACGCATTACACACACACACACACATATGTGCACATACATAGAACAGAGGCCCTAACACTGCAGGTCTGTCTTCATCCCCGCCTGTTTACTTTGCCGCCTTTCACTCTCTCACACTGAGGCCTTTTGTTTCAGACGCACACACACCTCCCCTTGTGTCCTGTGCACACCTCTGCCTGCCCATAACCCCCCCACACAGACCTGGGGTGAGCTCTGAACCCTCTCTCCTCACTAATGTCGCACTTTGGCTCAGCTGCATAAGCATCCATGTGCATGTGAGGATTTGTGGTTTCATTTTTTTACAATTTTATAATCCGTCATTTAAACACAGGAGCCACACGGAAATATCTATATTGACAGAGAGTCTGTAGACAAGAGTAGTTACACATTAACACAGAAAACAACGCGCGTAACAAAAAACTCTGCGGGCCAAAGCACTTTTCTCTCAGTGGAAAACATTTCATCATGCTTTTTGCCCCTTTTCTTTTTCCTTTATACCTCCTCTCTTCTTCACACCCGTCCACCCCTCCCGTACTTCGCTACTTCTTTCTAGGTGGGTGTCTATGAATGGGGAGGCCGTTCACAGCTCCTCTCCGGCTATGAAATCCCCCTCTCCCTCCCGTTCGCCTTTGAAGTCGAATTACTATACAATTGGGCACGGCGGGTGTGCAAGTTACGCCGGCTACTTCATTTCAAGTTTGGCAGGCCTGTCATGTCGCTGGAGACCTGGAGGTTACCTGGAGGAAGCTGCTTGAAAGCGCAAAACGATGCAAGGATTAAGACAAATTTGGTTTTGTTAAGTAGATAAATTGTCTGTATCGTCCAGGTCAGAATATTAACATAATTTTACCCCGTCCAACAACTCAAACAAATCAAACCAAACACAGTCATTAACACACTAAAAACACACACACATGCTGCTAGCCTTTTCCACAAAGCAGCACTGAAGTTATATTTCAAATGACATAACACTAGCGCAACAATATGGCAGCATATATATTTTTTTACAAATAAAAAAAAACATATTTCTAATGTGCTGTTTATCTCTTCTGACCCCCAAACTGTCACTCCTCTTGCACGAAGTACACACACACATAACTGTGCACACGGTAAGAGCGCTAAGCTGAGATTAGAGCGCCACTTCCCCTTGGCTTTTGATGATTAGCGGCTCCTCAGTTAAGTCCCTCTCATATCACATATGTCCACTGCAGCTAAGTCACTAATCGGACAGCGACGCACGTCCATTAACGGGCCGAATAATCGCCGTGGACGGTGGTTAACCGTCTCCTGGCCTTGGCTTACTGTGATCAACGCTTCTATTTCATGTTGGCAAGCCAGCAGCGGAAAGTTTACTCACACGCAAGCATCTTTAAATACAGGCCGCGAGCTTATGAACACGCGAGAGAAGCCGCTCGCACACACACATAAATCTGATGAATTTAGCAAAATGGGGGCAAAGATTAGTTTCAGCTTTATTGAAGAGTGAGAAAAAATACAAAGCAACCTATCGCAGAAATGTCCCCGTATAACAAACACACACACACACACACACACACACACACACACACACACACACACACACACACACACACACACACACACACACACGGCATTCTCGCACTTTGTGTCTGGCTGCTAACATAATCATGGTGCTAACTGCTCTTGTTAACTCCTCTACTCAGAACAAGCTTTCAGGGAGCGTGGGAGCCTCCTCTGGAGAATTCCACAGTAAAGTGTGTGTGCTTCTGCATATGTGTGTGTGTGTGTGTGTGTGTGTGTGTGTGTGTGTGTGTGTGAGAGAGAGAGAGAGAAAGAGGGGGAGCAATAGAGTGGGATTAGTGAAGAACAACAGAAACAAGAAGAGATGGAGAGAGAGAAAGAGGTATGTGAAGTGTTAAACCCTGGATAAAAACACACAGACGTTTTCCTGCTCTGTTGACAATGCAATACCTTGACCTGACCTTTGACCCCTTCCCCATGACCCCATGTCATATGATCAGTCTCTAGTTAGCCTGCAGGGATACCTCCGTGTGTCTGTCTGTTTACCACACACATGTTTTCCTAAGACTCCATCACTCTCTCCCGTTTACCCCCCCCTCCATAAACAACAACAACAACAACAAATGCGGCCAAATAGTCCCCCTCCCTTTCTTCTATTGGCTATCAGAGAGGGTCAGCTGATCGCACCGGGGTGGGAGAAAAGGGGGAGGGTGGGAGTGTGCTGAGAGAAGGGAGGAAGTGGGGGAGGAGGTGTGGAGGGGGGGGGATTTAGCATTCTCCTCTGGTATTTTTCTGTCTGTCGTTCCTTTCTTTCCTTTTCTTTCTTTTTGCCCCCCTCTCGCTCCTTGGATGGAGACACGGTTATCAAGGCTCTCTGGGGACAGACAATATGGCCCAGACAATGGCCTCCAGTCCGAGGAGGTGGTGGGAGAGAGAGGGGGGAGAGAGTGAGGGGGAGAGAGAGGGAGGCCGGGACAGGGCCACAGGGGAAGAGAGGGGCAGAATGGCGCATTAGTTTGCAGAGCACGGACACTCTACTCAATTACTCCAGTCGCTCTTTCTCTCTCTTTCACAGACACACACATTCTCTCTTTTTGCAAACACACACACACACACACACACACACACACACACACACACACACACACACACACACACACACACACACACACACACACACACACACACACACACACACACACACACACACACACCACTTTAATTTAAATGAAGAACAGAGAAACACTGGAAGCCGCACTGCTCACTTAAATTAGAAATACATTTTTATCATAAGTCACAAGATTTGTCCTCTTAAACTGACCATAACTCTGAAATGAACAATCTATAATAACTCAAATACGTAGGAATAAACAGCAGTGGTAGAAACTTAGTTAAAGTTGAAAACACACATTCAAAAAAAAAAAGAATTTCAATTACCAGTCACCATCTTGAGGGAAAATTGTTACTTTTGTAAAACGATCTTCAGCACAATATTCTAAACATTAACACAAGTAAAAGTATGGCATTATTCACAAAATGCTGTACTTAAGGTGCTTTAATAACTGAATATTAATACGTGGGCAATAATGTGTACGCTGCATTTTGTGAGACAATTTTTAACTACTTTGTATTTTTGATGGTCTGTTAAATCTAAAATGATCAATCTTATTTTTATAGATTATTGAGAATAGATCAAGTTGATTTAGCAAATAATTCTAGCTACATAATACAGGCAGTTGAAACAAATACATATTGAGGAGATGGACATTCTTAAGTAATGTATCTCTAAATCCAACTAAAGTACAGTAATTGACGACATGTAATTTACCTTCCAACGCTGAAAATAAATCTGATTTACCGCTGGCAATTTAAAAAATACAGTTTGTCTTAATTAAATGAGGCAAAATCCTTCGGGTGATGATGCCGCCTTGTTGCTGAGTGCGACGCAGTAATGTCAGATCTCATCTGAGTTTGTCCTGCCTAAACCGTTCTAAGTGTTGACACAACCGCTGACACACAAGCAAACACCCCAATAAACGGAGGGGACAAATGGAGGGGTGTGAAAATCCACATCGACAGAGACCTCTTCCTCTCCTCCCTCCTCCTAAACCCCCCAACATCCCCCTTATGCCTCCCCTCTTATTCACTCTCACTTTCCTGTAACCCTGCTTCTTCTTCTTCTTCTTTTCATCAGGGAGGAATGTGTCAGTTTGACTACATCGTGTCTCCATCCTCGCTGCCACTCAAGCTCCTTCGAATGTCTCTTTTCTGTTTCATTGCTTTGGCTTCTCTGCGTTTCTCCCTATGTGTATATTTCTGTTCTGTCTGCACGAACAGATGAGGCCGTGTAAGCCAAGGCAGTCTGTTTCCACTATTTTCAGCTTCCACTGGAAATGTTGATACACAGCCGAGCGCTCGGAGATCCAACAAATGTGTTCAAATCATTAAAGACATCATTCCAATGTGAAATTAGAAAATAATATAAATTACAGTGGATTCTCGCTTTGTCGAAGCATGAAGTCGATTTTAAGCAGCTGAACAAGCGGAGATTAAAACCATATTTCAAGACTTTTGTGTGCTTAAATAAAAGGAGAATAAAAATGAACTCTTTTCAAGCCTCAACGTAGCAGCAATTACAAAATAAAACTACATTTCAGGAGAGAATTCTAATATCTAGAAGAACACATATTTCCTACAATCCAACTTCAAGAAACTCAGACAAAGTCTTCTCCGTCAAATCAAAACTCAAAGTGAATTTTTAACAACAAAATGATTTGAGGGAAAGAAGTGTTAAGAAGAGAGAAAGAGGAAGTTGGATGATAAGATGAAGTAGAAGCATGAATGAAGGAGCGGACACTTACAGAGACGCAGGAACCGAGAGCATCGCGACCACCGAGCCTGGAGAGCACACACACTGGCAGCTCACACACACTCCGCTCCGCAGAGAGACTAGTGATCGACACACACACACACACACACAGGAAACACACACACTCACGGAATGGAAGATACCCCTCTCCTGCTCATACACATACATCCACGTACGTACGGATGCATACACACACACACATACACACACACTCTCGGCCACAGCCACAGTGATGGAGTGCATTACTGGAAAGCAAGACTTTTAAGCGCTCTCCTCCTAAGTCATTGTAATCCCTGCATTTATCTCCATACATTCTGCTTTTCTGTGTAATCCCTTAAATTTGTAATTCCTCCTAGCTGTTGTTATCTTTTTTTTTCTCTCCTCAACCACTTTGCCGGATTGAATGGTTTATTAAAAACACATTTTTGCCTCATCTAAATGTGTTCTTAATTCAAGGGGGCCCCTGAAATCCCCCCCCTAACCCCTCCGACCCCAGTTTATCTCGGAACAAAGATTAGTTTCATCGGGGAAAAACAGAGCGCTACTTTAATGCAATAAAAGTCAAGCAGGGGAAGGGGAGAGGTGTGTGTTGTGTGTTAGTAATAAAACGCCGGGTATTATAACATAATCTGTTTCTCGCAGCGTTAGCATCAAACGGCCATTATTCCACAGGCAAAAGCCACTTGTGTTGACAGTGTCGGGAAAGGGCAAGAGGCTTCGCACCTCTAAATGAAGCAGGCCCGCACACACATCAGAGGGGCACAGTGAGATTAACATTAGCATAAGGCAAGAAGTCGAAAACACAACAACACCATGCCGATTGACAATAGGATTACCGAGGGTTTGCATGTGTTGGATTTTGGATTAAGTGGAAAAATAAATCATAAATAAACATATATCAAAAGAAGGGGCTGAGCAGGAGAGCAGCGTGCAAACATTTCACATTCGGATAGAACAAGTTATTAATTTACAAGTTTTTTTAATGATTTAGAAACAAAGTATGTATCTGTATCATTTGGACTTGTTGATAGCACCTTTATCTAAATAGGCTGTTACAGAAAGAGACGTCCTAAAGCTTATAAAGCAGAAGTTAATAAAGTTGTGGTGAGCAGTGGAGATGAGAGGAGGGGATCACACATTTTGACTATGACACAAACACACACATCTCTGTCTGTTTTTCACTCTTCCTCACTCTTCCTCACACAAACACACGCGCAGTTTTTTTAATCAGTTTGTCCATGGAGGAATTGAACACAACTTCAGTAAGGAGTGACGGAGGAGGAAAAGAGGGACAGTTATGTTACTTCTGGGACACACACACTCTCCCAAAAGACAAGGAGTCAATCATCAACTCTCCATTTACCATCAGTGACTGTCACACACACACACACACACACACACACACACACACACACACACACACACACACACACACACACACACACACACACACACACACACACACACACACACACACTCTCTCCAGCCTCAAACTCAGCCGACTCGCTGAGACTCTTCCCATGCTTTACTCACAGTCTTCCCTTCACACACACACACACACTTTCTTCTCCTCTGCTCCCTGCCCTGCCTTATCTCTGCCCTTCTCCGTGCTGTCCCTGGTCTCTGTCATCTCAATTTTTGAGCGTGTGTGTGTGTGTGTGTGTGTGTGTGTGTGTGTGTGTGTGTGTGTGTGTGTGTGTGTGTGTGTGTGTGTGTGTGAGAAAGCGGCACGTACCTGTTACACTCCTGAGGTAGCTCAGGCTCAGTGAGCATGCTGGAGTGAGGGTCCGTCGCTCTCGTCAACAACAACATAAAACAGTCCCACAATGCTCAGATGAACAAGGTTAGTCTCCCCAAAACAAGACGGGATAGAAGTGATCCTTCAACCTCTCACACACACTGCTGATTCTCTCTCTCTCGCTCTCTCTCTCTCTCTGTGTGTTCCTCTCTGTCTCTCTACTCACACACTTTCAGCCTTACACCCTCCCTCACTCTCTCTCTCTCGCTGCCTCTGTCCCTCCTCTTCTCCCTCCCTCGCTGTAAGCTGTGAGATCTAGGCTCAGCTCTTAAAGGGCCAGCAGCAGAGCCTCTTTCTCTTTTCGCTCAGTGTGTGTGTTTGTCTGTGAGAGTGTTTGTGTGTGTGTGAGAGAGAGAGAGAAAAGGGGAGGGGCCATTTGACCATAGGGCTCATCACACATGAGCGCTGCCCCCTTCGTCAAGTCCATCTCTCCCTCTCTCTTGGCTTTCACTCACTCAGACAACGTTGACAGATCATGTAGACACACTTCAGGGTGACAAGCCCTCATGCACTCTACAATGCAACACAAAGCAAATTAATCAATATGAGATGGACTAAAGACAATTATATTTAACAAGCTCTTTATTACGTTCCTGTCTTTTCAATTTTCTCTGTCTTTAAACTTTTATACCACATGGCTAAAAAAAAATCATATTTCACACTTAATACTGATTTTTTTTAAAGTTAAATCAAACAAATTAGATAGATACACTTGCTTTGGCATGAACCTACATAACACAACAGGAAAAGGAACGTTGAATACAAATAAAATAGGGCCCCTTTAAGATGTTAAATGTTTCAACAATATTGCCCCTTATTTTCGACGTGTCCTCTTTAAAGTAAAATACTTTTAAGGGGTGATGAAGGTACCTTATACTGTAAGTGAGCTGTACAATATAATCAGCAGCTGTGTGTGATTTAGGAATTGTGTGTACTTTCATTAACGCTACATTACAACTAGGGCTGCTAGGGCTGCTCATTAATCGTATTTTAATCGTATTTTAATCGCGATTACGATTATGGCTTGCAACGATTACGAAAACAACGTAATCGAAATAAAACGATTATTTTTTTATTATTATTATTACTTTTTTTTTCAGTTGAATTATACTTAAAGTTCAGGGTAATCAACTGTTAAAAACATACTGTTCAAATGTTTTTCTCCAATAAATGGATGTTTTCAAAGTCAATGAATAATCGCATTTAATAATCGCAATTACAATTATTGAACCAAATAATCGAGATTATGATTTTTGCCATAATCGAGCAGCCCTAATGTAACGTAACATTCCTTCAGCAAAGCAATCTATAATCGTTAACAAAATAAAAACAAAAGACAGGATGCTCAGACATAAATAAAACACAAAAAGAAGTGAGAGGGAGCAGATCTCAGACACCATGAAATCCTGCTGGATCCCTGAGGGTCCGCTAACAACCAATGACAGCGAAGATGAGAACGAGAGAGTGGGGATAGTAAATCTGCAACTGTCCCCCTTCCTGCTCAAATCCCTGGTGGAATTAGCTAAGAGTGTCTGGGGGAGTAATAAATGCCTTTTTCCAGGTCAAAAGGAGAGAGCCTCCTCCCTCGCCTCTCACCTTCCTCCCTCTCTGTGTTCACTAACATTCGACTCCAGCAGAGTGCTGTCACAATCACTTACTCTATCTGGAGCCTCTGTAACCTCAGAAGCCTATTTTCATAGACCTTTGTCTGCCAGGTCAGTGGTTCACAACCTGGGGGGCAGAACCCCTCCAAGATTTAATAAGATATTTTAAACTTGAAGGGTTTTTGAAAGAACAATCCAGAAATAAAAGTCTGTGTCATCATGGCTAAATGCAAATGTTACATTTCAATATTGAGTTTTTCTAGTTTTTGCGACCACTCAAAGAGCTTTTACAACAAAAGTCTGTATCCACTAGTTCACATACACATTCATACAGAGGTATTTTGTTATCTAACGTTTATAATCTCCACTGTTTCTTGTAAGTTAATAGATAAGTAAGTAGACACTCTTTTCAAAAGGGTCAAAAGGCAAAAGGGTTTGTGATGAATCTTAATGTGAATGAAAACATTTTAAAATAGTAGTTCAGTACAAACACAGAAAAGTGTGTGTGTTTGTGTAGGATTGAAATAATCTAACAAAAATAAAAGGAGTTTTTGTCCATCCGATTAAGTTCACAAGTTTTTCTTAAGTCCAAGGTAAGGTTTGTTTGGATAAGCGGTTCTCGATAAGCTGCATTTCCAGAGGAAGCAATCAACCAAACAGACTGTTTTATAAAATGATGGTATGACAGATACATTTCCCATGTGCTGGCGTTATTAGTCTGCTGTTAAACACATGTATTACTCACAGTGATATGTTCTCATTGGACAGTTTCATGATGTAATGTGTTTTCAATGACTGTGCATACTATTTATCAAGCTGGCAGTCTGACCCGGGTCAATGCTTGACTTGATTCATTAGTCCCAGTTTATATTCATGACCTCAGGAAAACAACATCAGGTCTGTCTGAATGAATGAAGGAAATGATATTCCCTTAGGGACTGAACGACTAAACTGTAAATACGTTACCATCATTTCATATTAATGACTTGCCACGACTAATTAGAAATAGGCCTCATCAGCATTATGTCACCCTTCATGTTCATCAGATACAATTATAGGTTTTTTGTTTGTTAATGGGGGTTGAACGAAAGCAATTGATTAATAGTTTCAGTTAAAACAGAAGACAATCTGGAGATGAATCAATAACAGTTGAATGCTTTTAAAATGAATTAGGTTGAGGTCACACAGAAACACACACATGGCCAGGGAAATGGCAGATATGCAGATGAACAATTCATTATTAATAAGGTCTAAATGCTTCCATTATTTCAGAAGCCTGTTGCTAAGCAAGCAGAACTCTGTGGTTTAACATTTCAGCTGCAGCTCAAACATGAGTCTGCCCCTGCAGCTGCTCAAATACCATTTTGACAAGGTTGAGTTTATATTTTGTAAAGGTTTTTAAAGAAGAGTGCATACCTGTGTACTCTTGGGACTGACAATTATTTATTAACTTCTTAACAAATTATCTTGCAATAGTTACCTCCGCCAAAGAGGTTATGTTTGTGGTTTGGTTTGGTTGTTTGTCAGCAGGAATCAGGATTGGGCCAAGGAACAATTTAGTACACTTTGATGCAGATGGTGATTTATCACTTGGAAACAGCATTGACAGAAGAGTGCGCTCTCTGAGTGGCCATTAAGCTTCTTCAATTAATTGATTGACTGTTGGTCAATAACATGTCAAACTAATATTGAGAAAAATCCCTTATCTTATACTGTAGTCCAATCCAATCCACTTTATTTGTATAGCACATCATAAAAACAGGGGAATTACCAAAGTGCTTCACACCAAACATAACATTATAATAAAATATAATATTATAATAATAGATAAAAGGCACACATAAGAAAAGATAAGAGGTTAAAAGGCACACATAAGAATTAATACAAGGTACATAAAGGCTAAGGACAGACAATAAAGGCAAATCGATAAAACATAGCTCAGACTGACTCAAAAGCGAGGCGAGACTTAAAAGTTTGGAGGGTGGGCGACAATTTGACATGGGTTGGGGCAGGTCGTTCCAGAGCCTGGGGGCTACCGCTGAGAAGGCTCGATCTCCCCTGGTCTTCTTCTTGGTTTTAGAGACTACCAGCAGCAGCTGATCGGCCGAACTCAAAGCCCTTGAGGGGGTGTACACCTTTAGGAGGTCGGAGATGTACTGAGGGCCCATTAAGCGATTTAAAAACAAACAATAAACTCTTAAAATGAACTCTAAAATGGACAGGAAGCCAGTGGAGTGAAGTCAGAATTGGTGTGATGTGCTTATGCTTGCGTGTTCCTGTAAGCAGCCGAGCTGCAGCATTTTGTACCAGCTGCAGGCGTGCCAGCGTGGTCTGGTTTAGGCCGGCATAAAGTGCATTACAGTAATCTAGACGCGTAGAAACAAAGGCATAAATTACACGCTCAAAGTCTAAAAAGGATAAAACCGGTTTAATTTTGGACAGGAGCCTCAAGTGATAAAAACTGGACTCAACCACAGTGTATCTGTTTATCCAATTTAAAAGCACTGTCGATTTTGACGCCCAGATTTGTGACCATGGGTTTTGCATATGGTTGCAGGGAACCCAGGTCAATGGAAGGGACATCACCATTTGGTCCAAATACAATGACCTCATTTATGTTTAAAAAGTTTAGCGCCATCCAGGCCTTTAAGTCATTAAGACAGTCAACCAGGGGCATCAGAGAGCTGGTTTTTATTTTTTTAGGGGTAGGTATATTTGTCCACATAAAGGTGGTAGGAGACGCCATGTTTTCAAAAAATGTGTCCAAGGGGGAGAAGGTATAAGGATAATAAAATGGGCCCCAAAACAGAACCTTGGGGAACTCCACAGGATAGGGGGGCAGAAGACAATGTAAAGTCACCAAGTCTAACAGAGAAAGATCTCTGGGACAAATAGGACCCGAACCACTCAAAGGCAGTGCCCCCGATATCCACACAGTGCTCTAGACGAGAGATAAGGATGGAGTGGTCAATCGTATCAAAGGCAGCTGTGTGGTCTAAGAGCATAAGGATGGCAGAGTCACCAGAGTCTGTAGTGACCAGGAGGTCATTGAATACCCTATAAGGGCAGACTCAGTACTGTGAAGCGCTTTAAAACAGGACTGAAAAATATCGAACATATTGTGTGCATGTATAAAAGACTGCAGCTGTAAGAGTACGGTTTTCTCCAATATTTTTGAGATAAAAGGAAGCTTAGAGAGGGGTCTGTAATTTGAGAAGACAGAAGTGTCCAGATTTTTTTTTTTTACCAGGGGTGCCACAACCGCTTGTTTGAAATAAACTGGCACAGAACCGGACTCGAGGCTGCTATTTATAATTGTATGGACATTAGATCCAATAGTGTCCCATATCTCTTTGAAAAGTCGAGGAGGGACTGGTTCTGTGGGACAGGATGAGGGTTTTAATTTAGTAAAAATGTCACTGAGAGATGACAACGACACAGCCGGGTCCAAACTGCTGGAAGACAGCAGTGCATGTGATGTCAAAGGAGGGGTCAAAAGAGGGTGGTTAGATACAGGCTCTAATAGTGGAGATCTTGTCTATAAAATACTAGAAATAATATCAGAAAAATAACTCATCTTTTCAGCTTTTACAATGCTCTGATACTTTCTCCAACTGTCTTTTAAAATGTCTATGAGTTACATGAAGCTTGTCCTTCTTCAACCTGCGCTCAGCCTGCCGGCACTCACACCTGGCAGCACGAGTGACGTCATTGAGCCAGGGTTCAGATTTAGCTCTGGGGCGCATGAATTTCAGGGGAGCAACAATGTCAAGAGCTCCAGTGTAGGTAGAGAGAAAGGCTGAGGTTAATTGCTCAGTGTCCAGGGAGTCAGAGGACATAGTGTCAGACTGGGCTAAGTTTACAACTTCAGTTGAAGATTGTAACGTACATTTCTGTGAAAGCAATATAATACACAGCCTTCTGCAGCCAGTAGCTGCCGCCGGCTGTATCTCACAACATGCTGAAACAGCAGTTTCCATGTTCCTCCACAACTTTTCAGATATTGACATGCAACATAAGTAATAATAGATGTGTGAATAAAAACACAATATAAAGAGGAACTGTTTAGAACTTTGTTCTCCATTTATGTATTCAAGTAATAAAAAGTCACTCTCACATTTGCATGTTGTTTTGGTTCCTGTGCGGTGCAAACGGTTTGCAGACAGTTTGCAGACAGGCGGCTGTGAATTGCTTTGCAATAAATAAGACCCAGAATCTTTAACGACGGCAGCAGGCAGGGCAGAAAAACAGAGGGGTAAAAACTGGGCCTGGGAATTTGACCTAGAGGGGTTCGTCTCCACTAAATCAAACATACTTCACTCAAGTATTATATAATTAACATCACATTGCAACTCGGGGGACAAGAATAAGTGCCTTGTCATGTATTATTTTCAGGATAAAAAGGATCCTGCTCTTAAATTCTTGGGACCAGTAAGGCTTTTTTTTCCTTTGATATTAATCCCTGCTTCACACTTTGCATTTAAATTCCTAACACCTTCTACATTTAAATTGCATACCAACACACTCAGAGTTTCCATCTCACCTCCACTGGCTCTAATTCCAACTCTATTATAACAGAAATATAATAATATTTAATTAAGTTGAAATATTTTCCCTGCACACAATCACTGTCAATTAAAAAAATGAAATGTGCATACTTCTGTCCTTAAAAAACCTGAAACCCACACATGATCACCCCCTCCTCCTCTAATGGAGTGATCAAAGGACGCTTGTTGTGTCAGCTCTTCCCCAAGTGAATGCTACAATAAATTATTTGTACATTCTTTAAGAAATGAAGAATTGGCCAGCGTGGAAATAAATCCAGTGATGTGAACCACACTGTCTGTCATGTGATAATTAGCATCAGAGCCATTTGACTGCAACTGATCCGCCAGATACTTCATGGAGGGTCACAGCTACTTTCACATTGAGGCTTAAAAGGCAATGCAATTCAAGTGGAGGGGAAACAACGGCTGAACACAGAGGTGCGTGCGGCCTGAGAGACAATAAGAGCTGTCCGAAGATTTTATTGGATATAGAACAGAATTGTTGATACAATTTAATAATAAAAGTATATTGAAAGTGAAAGAAATCATACCAGGGCTCTCAAAGGTGCAAAGGCTTTAAAACCATGTGAATCAACAGCGAGGTCACACACTTATTGTAGTCATGTGATTAATGTCCCTCTATTTCAAATCATTTACAGTTTTACACATTCGCTGGCTGAGAAGAGACAACAGCTCTCGACAGCTAATGCTAATCTGCTAATGCTTTATCAAAACTAGCCGCCGTCATCATCATCATCAATATCAGCAATATATGTATAGTATATATATTTTTGTTAAATCAATGTTAATCGTCGCTAACCTTTGCGCAGGTCATTTTTCTTTTTAATTTCTGGCAGCGTCTGGCAGAAAACCACAACACTGAGGAATGCTCGAAAGACACGTCACCAAAACAGGCGACCACAGGGAAGGGGACCAATCTCTTTGAATACAATTATGGATTTCTCTAGTTTGGAAAATTGTTAGAAAATGTGGGAATAATGCAGGTAAACGACTCAAAAAAGGTATGCTTTGGGTCTACTGTGTTAGTTATGACACTTTCCTTAAAGAATATGGTCGGTGAAAGTGACGGCCTGGTGTCAATGATACAGAGCAAAGTGCTGCAGCCATTGAGAGAGAGAAATGAAGAAACAGGAAGGCTCACCTGGCGCAATGATGCTGCGAAGGCTTCATGGGAGCTGTTGAGGCGCGTTCTGAACTGGGAGCAGATGCTTTTGGCCAATTTGGCAGCACTGAGACTTTCTATGGCGTCCTGGGCCACTTTACGCTTCCACTCTGGAGTGATGGCCGGTGGGTTCACAAACGTTATCCTGTGGATTATCTGGAAGCAAGACACACAGTAGGAACACTTCATCAGAGGTCTCCATGCAGCGAAAACTCTTATAGCTGAATGTATTGGACACTGACCTGTTTGATTTGATCCCAGAAGAGTCTGGTGACAGAGGATCCTGAAGTGAAGGTGATCTCCACATGATAGGCAGCATTCAATAACTGTGGCAGATGAAACGAGTGGATAAATATACAGCCAAAGCCATGGCATAAGCTATCAGTTAATGTAGTCTATGGAGGCAGGTGGAACTGAAGCCAAGTGGAGTTGACAGAGCATATTGAAACCTTTGTTTTGGTTTGCTTTTCTACAAACACACATAGAGACACTATCCACCAGGGCCTGCAACACAATGACCTCCTTATTCACTGACATTCAGAAAATCAGACACACTGTCAGTGCTTCAATGTTAGATACGTATGTGTGTTGTACCTGTGTGCACTTTAAATACTGTGACACCATTTCTTCCAATCAACCATAAAGACCTAGAGGACGTTTCAAAAGATGTGCCCACCTGCTTGAGGTGATTGGAAGTGATATTGTGGACAGAAGTGTCCATGTGTGACTTCTCCAGACTGTTGAGACATCGCTCCAGAGTTCCTACGAAGCTCTCCCTCAGATAGTCCACAGAGCTGATCAGCTTATTGGCCACGGCCTGATTCAAGCGAACCACTATCAGCTCCTGGATCTGGTGGATGCAAGATTTGATCTCCTTTGACGTAAAGGGCTCTCCATTGGTTGTTACAATGATGTCTGCAGTTAAAAGAAGAAGGTCAGATTAATATGTGGTATTCGTGACAAACAAGCAGAGGGAAATCCTGAAGAATAACTGCAACACAATGACCTCCTTCTTCACGGACATTCAGTAAATCAGACACACTGTCAGTGCTTCAATGTTAGATGCGGATGTGTGTTGAACCTGTGTGCACTTCAGGGTCCATTTAAATACCATGACACCATTGTTTCCAATTAACCATAAAGAGGTCATTATACAGTATCTGAAAGCCTCCTCCTGCAGGCTTTTCAAAAATATTTGAAATTGCATCATCTCATATCTTCTACAAATTGTAAACACGATCTTCTCTCGATAAGCAACTCTTAAAAAAGAACATCTACAAACATGGCACATCACCAATGAACGATTAAGAGCCCACATCAACATGTCTTTTTGAAGGAAATGAATTCAAAAGCGATGTTTGTCTAAAACATAGCAACTTCTCTGCACTAAACTCCTGTCTTGATGCCTTCCAGTCACGTTTCTTGAACACACAACGGAACTGAGACTGATCTTATCAAGTTGTATCATGACATCTACTTAAACACAGGCAGTGGCAGAATCTCTGTGTCTGACTTCTGTTAAATCAAAGATGAAGACTTTTGTGTTTGTCTTTCCTGTCGTATAATAAGTATTCACTTCTTACAATGCAACTCTTCTTTTTGTATTTTGTACCTGTCTTGTTATACTGTAATTGTTTTATTCCAATGGCTTCATTTGTTTTCTTTAGCACCTAATCACGAGGGTTTTTGTGAAGCACATTGTGTTGTACTGTAGTTGACATTTTCTACCAATTAACGATGTAAACATCAGAGTCACAATGATTTCTCATGGTGGACCTTTCTTTTAATTGGCTAAAACTGTTTTTGCTGCTGCCCTCATCCACAGCAGTACATTACTGCTACTTTAACATCGATCTACTTGTGCGATCCACCACTTATTAACATATTATCTTCTTAGATAATACGAGAAAACAACAGAAGAGGAACCCTGTCTGACTTGTAGCGTGGATCCAGGGCGTTCACTCACTAACCTGTAAACTCCAGGTTGGCAGCGTCCTCCAGCAGCTGCTCTTTCATGCTGCCCAGCGTTTCCACAATCATCTCCTTCATCTCTTCTTGTTTACGGTTAGCGATGGCCATAAGGGAGGTGAAAAGTTCACCCTCTTTCTCACGGGTGTACTCCAGCCTGCGGGGTGTAATCTGCAGGTCCCTCTGCATGTCAAAGGCCTGCAGAGGAGGGGAGCAGAAACGATAAGGTCTGATGGTGATTTATTATGGGCATACCAGGTCAAATCAGTTCATGAGAATGCAGCACAACAGACACACAGATGAACAGCACTATCCTCTGACCTGGTTGATGAAAAGATCTAGACAGCGACAGTGGACCCCATTAAGCAGGTTGGCAGCCTCCACCTGCTGGTTCTGAAGCACCAGGCGAGCAAAAGGCACCAGTAACCGATGCAGCCTTTCGAAAGCCTCACCCAGTACGCTCTGGGGCTTGGCACCAGGGGCGGGTGTCTGTGTAGGGGCCCCACAGGGGCAGTTTGCCGTCGGGCCACAGAGGAGGCCGAGGGAGAGCAGCTGCTTATGGAGGGCGCTCTTCTCCCTCTCCTTCTCTTTCTCTTTCTCCCCACGGCGGCCGGGCTCTGGGGAGGCTGCTGGGATAATGTCAGGGATACGGATAAAACAAATGGGGTAGGAGAGCAACTCTTTGACCTTCCAGAGCTCTGCCACCTGCTCTGTGCTTAGAGAGTCCTGGTTGATGGCATAAAGTATGATGGGGACCACTCCCCGGGTGAAGTCTTCCAGCACCTCTTCTATAGGCTGGACACTCGGGCAAGGCACCACCATGACCTTTGCTTCCTGAGGACAAACCACATAAAAATATGAAATGTTACTTGTTAAAAGCTTTGTAATTCGTAAACCACAATAAAGAAAGGAACAAATAGCCAGATTTATCAAATACAGGAACTAAAATGGCCCCGAAGAGCGCAGACCTCTACAATGGTTCTAATGATTACGATGTGTTCATGAGATATAAGTCGTAATGTGAAAACTAAATGTGTTGCATTTCCTTGCTCAGAGCGTTTAAACAACAACAACAACAACATGGTATGAGCCTTTTCTTTGAAAGACTTTTTGTTCTGAGTTAAGGGTCGTTCAAATTATCTTTTATTTGAACTATTAAATGTATTTATCAATTATGTGTTCAATAAAAAATGTGACCACAGTTATTGTGACATGGTTTTTTCATTTTGTTACATGCCTAAAACAAACACCCCAGAAAAACATACTCAGATTTAGCTTTTAAAGGTCTAATGTCTTGACACAAAAAAAACGTCTTGAAAAGCTCAACTTAAGGTATATTAAGTGTACAAGTGTTCAAACTAAATGATGTTTTAAACATCTTCATCTGCAAAGGGAAGAAAAACATGTCCACACATATCACATGCTCCTTCTATTTCTGAACCCCTAATGGCACATCAATATTTGTGATGGTCTTGGGAATGTCTGCAGCAGGGCAGGGACATGACAAGTAAAAACACTTTCTTAACCCATGATGAAAAACTACTTTGACTAAAAATATTCTCAGCTTGAGAGGAGAGACCAATGCCTGGGAAAAGGCAGCCAGAGAAAAGAGACAAAATGACCAACAGCTAGACAAAGGAGACAGTCAGTCCTGTCTCCAAGAAACAACAGCAGAGCCTGAGCAGTCTCTCTGGAACAAAGATAGCCTGCAAACATTCGTTTCAAAATCCATGTACAATGTTCAAATTGATTTAATGCTGTCAGTTTTCAAAAACAGCACTTTGAGAAAATGTCTATCTGAGCCTGCCCAACAGAGCAAATCATTCAAGACAAATGGCCACGTAGGAAATTACAGTTTTCTTCTGTTAGCATATTTTAAGGGTAATTGCTAATTCAACAGGTCTTCGTTAACCAAGCAGACTTGTTTGTATTCATTACTTGAGTAATGCACAAAAGACAAGATGGACCTCAAAACCTTTTTAGAAACAAGGTGATAGCAGAGCACCCTTTAGGTCCTCTTGTTGCTCATGTTGAGTTGGGAAGCACGGGTTGACTCTGGGATGGAGAGAAGCATAATTAGCAAGTTGGCCTCTAAAGCAGGTTGCTGTGATAACGGCAGGAGTGTGTGAATACCACAATGAGCAGAGAGATTCTGTGCCTTAGTATACTCCAACTGAGACAGGTTTGTTTGATTCAGTCAGAAGAAAACTAAAAGGGTCGATTTAAAGTGCTTTGGTTTATGACAAACCTCACAACTATCCAAGTGACATGCAACTATTGACTTGAGTTGAAGATTATTTCATTATACTTCACCATGTAAATCACACTAATAAGGGACAGCAGGTCCCCACGCATCTCAGTCACATGTGAAAATCAACAGGGGTCTGAAATGGCTCTAAGCGCTGACGTTTTGGTTCCAAGTATTAATCTATAACACGCTTCTGTTTTTTAGATATGTATCTTTGAGTAGCAATGATAGAAGTTTTAAAAATGTTAAAGCTTTATTTATTCAACCAAGCAATGCCAACACATTGCTTGTCTGAGTCTGAATGAGGCAAGTCATGCAAACTCCATGCTATGGGTTTTACCAAGAAATGTACACACATTTAACAAAGCATTAAAATACAATAAAGTCAAGAATCCACCAGGAATTGAGTTATTCCATAACGTTAATCAGGCACGTACTGCCTGACGCGCTTTTGTCTCAAGCACATTTTAAACATCCATTCATTGTTTATGGCAATAATGTTAGTCAACATTAGTATAAATTGATTTTAGTAGCAGAAATGCTGGATTGAAACACCTCGTGAATAGGTCTTTGTTAGCACAGCTCACACAAAACACTAAAAACATTTGTATTTTGTTATTAAAACACGGTAAAGTTTTTTGTAACAATGTTTCCTAGATTTCAGTTGTAACCATGGCAAATTCATCACAGCAAAGGGTTTGGGATTTTTAACATGACCTAGTCATGTGAATCGCACCAGACCAGTGGCATTACGTAAGGGGGCAGGGCGGGCGGCCCCCAGGCAGAGTTAGGCCTATTTTCTGTGGCTGTGTGATGCTTGCGAAGGGGCCTTGGACTAAAGGATTAGAGACTAATTTCCACGTGTCACACATGATAAGGAATGACTACAATCCTTACAGCATGCTAAATCAATTCCCTCCCTGAAGATATTGTGACTTTCAGCTCACACTGGCTGAATACCAGGATGACTGCCTCACTGTGTCCAAAGATTCTTCCTATTTCCATGTTAGCGCACAATAACCAGTGAATCCGTTTCTAAGAAGCGATCAAACCTAAACAAGACAAAAACAACTGGAGAACGATGCATTTCTGCAGTAGCACCATTCGGGTTAAACACTGAACAATACAGGGAATAATCAGCTCTGCTCAGTCATCTGGCAGCTTAACTATGTGTTGAACAAAAAGGCTGGTTTAAGCCAGACACAAGGATAGGGGAAAAATCAAATCATCTTTCCTGTTTTTAAGGGAACACCACACAAAAAGGAAAGTAATGTCTGGCCCATAGGGTTCAATGATGCAACTCATACAAGGCTCTACTGACCTAATACAATGAATGATGTGTGTCCATTCCGACCGAAGAAAAGAGCATGTATGCAACTTGTATACATGTGATGTCTTTAACTTCTTATTGCTCACATCAATTATGTTCAAAGCTTCTCCAGGTGCCTTTAGAGAGCTCCCTGAAGATAGGACATTGAGTGGACATTGTACTGCAACCATTAGATCCAGTGGGCGTCTGCAGCGAGGTGAAACCTACCTGTAGCAGTGGGTGATGCAGGGTGATCTCCAGCTCTGCCAGCCTGTGGGCCGGGTCCTCACATTCCTCATGGATCTCCAGGTCTTCCCGGGGCACGGTATCCCAGCGGCCACAGTTAGCTGCCAGCTGGTGAACAAGCTCGTACTGGCCGGGCAGCGCGAGGCTGAGCCGGGTCTGTCTCCCGTGGGTGAAACAAAGCTTCCGCCTCTTGCAGACCGTGCCCTGGACTCCTTCACAAGCCTGTCCGGCCTCAGGGCCCAGGGGCAGCAGCCTCTCCCCCAGGAGGCAGTTGAGCAGCTGGTAGCGGGCGGCACAGTCCTGGCCCAGTACCAGGATGTACGGGGCGGCGCCCACAGTGTTGCGCAGGAACTCTTCCTCATGGCTGGGGAAAGAGATGCAGCTGAGCTGGCCTGGGGGAACGGACAGAACAAAAGAGAAGGATTTTCTCAGTAGGGCTGTAACTCACTTTTTCTCGTTATTTATCTATCTGCAGATTATTTGCTTTATTGATAATGTTGTCAAAATGTAAGAATGAGGTGAAAAGTGACAATGCCAATTTTCCAAGATGTTGGCTTAAAATTCTTGTTTTGTCAATCCATTACACAAAGATGTTAAGTTTCCCACGATAATCTCAAAGTCAAAGTCAGCTTTATTGTCAAAATGTCTACATGTGTTATACATACAGAAATCTCGAGATACCGTTTCCGGCAGTCCCACAGTGTGACATATATACATAAAACAAAAAAGGGCCTAGATAAAAACGGGGTATACAATAAGTAATAGTTTTCAACATTTTAGATGAAAACAGCATGTTCTGCAACATTAACAGTTACTCGACTGATAAATCCATTATCTATGACTAATTGATTGGTTGCCTGATCATTGTGCCTTATCTTACTCCTCAGTAACCTTAAGCAACCCTGTCTACTAGTAAGTGAGCTTTTTTTTGGAACTTTGGTCAAATTTAAAGCCGTAAATAGGGTGTAAAATGACACTTTTTATTTGTTATCTGATGATGACTTACAATATCAACAAAAGATTCTATTTAGAATTTTGAAAAAATTTCCTTGGGGCTATTGTTTTCTGATCTAGGCTTTACATGTGAAGTGCACACAGAGGAACTGATTGAACCTTCTTACAGAGTGCATCACAACTAATCCCCAGCAATGTTGAGTCACAGTCTAAACGGTTATATAAAAAAGAGAGTAGACATGGCCAACATTTCTTTCATATAAAAGTGCATTTCTTTCTAACAGATATGTGAATTTATTGTCAATTCAATGTAGCACACGATGCATTAAAGTATGACAGCATGACCCCTACACACCAAAACATCAGATGAAGAATTATTGAATGATCCTTTAACATCATATGTTGCCCCTTTGTGTCCAAATTCATTTGCAAGATGACTCTAGTTTGGCAGGTGAAGACATGTGTTAGATTTTTCTTATGAAACGCAGCATTTCTTTGTCAATAATCTCATCTTCAGCTTAACATTGTTCATTCAACACTGAGAAAATGTATGTTGACTTTCTCGGTGTACAGTGCACCAGCTCTGACTGACATAGCTACTCCTGCAGATGTGACACATTCGATGTTATCAATATTTCATAGAAGAAAGTATCTTTATCATATGATCAATACAGCTCACTCATAATATGTGATACAGGGAGCTTTGAAACATTGTTTAAAACCACTCATCTTGGTGGTTGTAATGGAGAAGTGTGAAACAAAAATAAAAAGAGGGGTGGGGTATGATCATTTGAAAGGTGTCTGAAATATGATACAAATGTGTCCACAGCCTAAAGTAAAAACCTAACCAGCCAACCAAGCTCTCAGCCAGCCAATGAGTGCAGAGATTCCTGCATATTTGGTGCACTTAGTCTACTCATGCTTTTCAGAGGGGGTTTAATCCCTTTAGTTTTCCCTAACCCCAATTAACGCATTTTCCACTCTACTTGTTGATGGATAAATCACTTGGCAGTAGAAACGTATTAGCTCTTTCTTTGTGATGCAGAATTTTGCCATATGCTGCTTTAAACATGGTTAAACATGTTCAGGTGTTGCTGCATGTGTTGAAACCTACCTGCCTCAAAAGAAGCTGATTCCGAGCTCATGGTCGATGCACAAGCATTGCTGTAATTTTGCCTGATTTCCCGGAAGAAGGCATTGGTCTCCTTCAGGTTCTTCTTCAGCTGTATGGTGTGTTTGTTGTAGCTGTTAAATGTCCTTGTTAGTTCCCGAGCTAAAGGAGTGGTTTTCTGTTGTTGCACATTTCCCTCCATGGTGAACTGATAGAGCTGCTGTCTTCCCCTTGTTGTGATGTACACGGTTAGCAGGTGCCAAACAACCAAATCAGTTGAGATGCTCAAAAGTCTGTGCAGTTATCTCCCCTTTAAGTAAACATGACGTGTGTCCAATGCCATACACCTGCTAGGCTGTGCAATACTTCACTTGTAGTCAGTTTAACATTAGTGTATTAGTGCTAGACATTTAACCCTGCAGTGTTTGTGTCCGTGAATTACGCTGTGCATGTGTCTTTAGTTGTTATGATGTTGAAGCCGACTAGCACTAGCTCGACGTCGTCAGTTGCGTTTAATCGGTTAGCGAACAAAGTAATGGCTATGTCGGCATATTTCTTAGTTAACACCAACTGTCTGACTGAATTCAGACAAATAAGTGTCTTAAAAATAAAAAAAAACACAGTCACTTGTTGCCGACTAATGTGCTAAATATTGTGCGTGTTGCGACCTAGCCGTGGTCCAGACACCGTTAGCGCTGCTAGCCAGATGGCATCTCCAGTCCGTCCTCGCCTTGGCCTGGCACAACACGCATCGCCTTTAACTCCACGGAAACAGCCCACTGCCCCGATTCACAGCCATACAGCACTGCGGGTAAACAAATGGTGCCCGGTGATGACAGTTGCCTCCGAATGACAACCCGAGCACGACAAAAAGCGTTGGCGTTTTCCTGGAGATCTTCCTAAACTGGCTCTGGCCCGGAGAAGCCAACGGACATCTTTCTCCCTGGAAAAGGACGGCGAAACAACAACATGAACTGTTTCCTGTTTTGAAGATGATGAGGAAGATTAGAAGACCCAGTGGTGGTGCAGGGCGAGGTTGTGTCTGCACCAACTCACATAGCTGAGACCATCAAATCTCTGCAGTCACAGCGCAAAACAGAAAGTCGACACAACCAAAGTTTGGCAGAGGAAAGGGCGGGGTTCGGGGTGACGCACTGCAGTCTGGGAAATGTAGGAATATCAAAATAGTATAGATTTGGATAATAATACATTCAGATTTTCTTAAGAAAGTTTGTCAATGTAGGTATTTTACCTATTTGAAGAGTGTATTGTGAGTGCATTAAAGTGTCTTATATATGCCTATTTTATCTAAGTAAAGGATTGCCTTTAATATGTAACTATGAAGTGTACTATGAACAGAACCCAATATTGCACAGTAGAATGTGTGTGTTCTATAAAATATAAATAGTGATCAGTTATTAAATAGTGTAAAGGTTGGACCATGTCAAAGTTAAATACAATCAGATACAAAAGATTAGGGATTTTAGGTGTTAAATTACAGCAGCTAATGAGTCAGCACATTCAGACTTTTAAGTAAGGAAGTTTTCTGCAGTTTTCTTTAACTTACGCATTGCAATTGGGCTATTGACGAAGAAAAAAGTATAACCAGTTTTGAGCACAGGACTCCATACGAATAATGAGCCCCCTCTTCTGGCAGACATACCGAATTACATAAACAACAGCGTCAATGTTTTGTGATTGGTCTATTCTCTCTCTGATTTCATAAATGACAAAATACAAATCATGATTATTTATGGTGGAAATAATGTGGAAACATAACCGTGGGAACATGTTTCAAATGGGGGGTGCTGTGGGGATGACACCAGGGCTGGTTCTGACCAATGTGCTGCCTTATAGGCAAGATTTTAGCTGGCAATGAAAAACCTCTGCAAAAGACCAATACACGACAAAAAGTGAAACATATTGACATGGTGGACAGCTTATATAAAAAGGCTTCAAATGTATTTAGTATTATAACATGTTTTAATTGGGGGGTGGACTTCACATCCTCTAGAGGGGTCCGGGGGTGAGGATATGAANCTATATGCTGTGAGCTGATTATGGAGCCTTCATTGTAACAGTAATTCAGATGCAATTAGCCTATATAAAAGGCCTCAAATTGGAAGCTCTGTCTGGGCCATCTTTTTCACTCAATTCTGCAATAGGTAGATCTCGCCTTTCACCTAGGCCGAGGTCGGTGATCTTGGGCTTAAAAAGGTTGGTGACCACTGATCTAAACCCTCAGAGTCCTTTAACTCACTGAGCCTCTCAGTCTGACAGGACAGAAATCTCCCTCCACATTATTGTAGAAACAGCTTCTTATATCCATTAGCGCAACAGAACAACAATCCCCGCCGGTACCGGTGCACCCCCTCTCTCTATCTCTCTCACTTTGGCTGTGAGCTGCGGGCGCCTGATAAACCAACATCCCCCATTTCATCACTACAACGTCCATCGTACAGGGCAAATGGAAAATGTAACCGGGGTGAAAAGGGTGTTATCTTTACTTAATTATGAATGTTGTTACATCAAGGCTGAAAATTCGTTTTTTTTTTATTATATCTTGTAGAAGTGCAGATCCCCTGTCCTCCACCAGGGGGTGCTGCAGCATCCTCAACACCCCTACTTCCCACGGCCCTGTGTGGAAATGTGTCCCACTATTTTAGTACATTTCAAGATGTAGAGCATTTGATTTCTATTGATCTATTCATCAGCTATGTCAAATAATAATACATTGTGAAGAGGATATTAAACAGTGAACATGTGCTTATTAGGTAAATATGTGACATAGCCACTTGCTGTCTTATTTGGGTTAAACCAACTGTTCAAACCATCCAACACATTCTTATAACTTGCAGGGTGCCCTCCAGTGGCCAACATCTTTAACGACATTTATAATCCAACCACTTGCTCTTTTCTATAATGTATTTCTCTCAGGTCAGTAGGCAACAGACTGTCTGTTTAGGGTGAACCTGACTAAAAGGTAACACACATGCAAGCTCCATGAAGTCAGCCAAGGTTTTTGAATCGATGTTTGTTATCAGGATGAGGATAAAATGATATCATAGTTATATCATTAGAAGTATTTTCACATAATGATACCAATGATATCTCTGAGTTTATTAACAGTAAGTGCTTGCGACTATAACTATGCTATTCCAGTGGCTCTTTTCACAGTTATTGAACACCGCAAAATGGTGTCAAGCGTTCAATTCTCTGTACATATGTCGTTTAAATTATCATTTTAACTAATCTAAAAGGTTAAAAATAAAATGATTGTTCTGAGCAATATAGTTGTCACATTAATTGTTTCTATGTTACAACAGTCTATGGTTACAACTAGGTGGATGTTTTACTTAGTTAAAAGCAATAGTTCAATGTCAAAACATTGAAATAGAATGATAAAATATTGCATAAAGAATTTCACTAAAATGTTAATAGTGATGCATAAAAGCATATTGCTGGTAGTTGGTCAAAGGTGGAACAATTTGAAAAATGTGGGTGGTTTAATTTTCTTTATTAATGTATTCTATGTATTTTTATTTGTTGTTGTTGTTGTTGTTGTTGTTGTTGTTGTTGTTGTTGTTGTTGTACATATTATTATATAAAGTAACCAAAGCTGTCAAGTTAATGTTGTGGAGTAAAAAGTAGGATATCTCCCTCTGACTTGTAGTGGATACGAAAATATGAAGAAGCAACTAGTACCTTACATTTCTACTTTTAATTTTGTGGTGCGCTTGTTGTATATGTTTTTGCACACCGATTGTAACATCAGTAGCACACACGCTGGGAGAGCATGTTGTGCTCCTCATTAGAACTACGAACATATACTTGAATCTAAAAGAAGCAAGAGCCTGCCACAGCTTGGAAATAATCTGTTTGAAATAAAAGTCCTGCTTTAAAAATGTTTCAAAGTAATACTTCAAAAGTCTTTACAGTAACATTTTTGAAAATGTTTGTATTCTAAATTAATGGATTATATGTTGTGATGCATAATAATTTACTATATCTGCTGGTTGTTAAAGTGTGGCCAATTTTAATTTGATTTCATATATAATATTTCATATCACAGTCATCTAATTCTGCAGAGTACAGTTATCATAGTGCTGTAGTAGAGTAAAATAACGTAGAATACATGGAAATGCGTGTATAGTAAATTAGCACATACGTCAACGTTGTTATAAATAGGCTACAGTAGCCTGAAGTAAAAGTACTTAAAGGTAATTTCCACCACAGCCAACCATCGGACCTTTTAAGGTACACGGACTACTGCCATTAATAAGACATTCATGTTGCAGTCTGCTGCTGCTGCTATTAGTTTGCACTGTGAAGCATCATAGAACAACCACTTGGATTGGAGTTTGAAGTTTGTGAAAAAATAAGTCTCATTACTTTGACTTTAAAAAGTAAAATGTTACTTTTTAAAGTCAAAGTAATGTTAATTATTTCCCTGGGAAGCTTAGCAAGGAAACAAAAAACGGACCTAAATATGTGATTGCACACTCCCCGGCGCTGCCCCGTGTCTCATATCAAGCGCTCCTCTGTGCACCTGAACCGCCCCTCCACTATTTGACGTGGCTGAGGTCAGCTCGTGTCGTAGCACGCCGTGTACCTGGTGCTGATAATGGTCACCGCGCCGCACAGGGGACACACACGCGTTTAGTTTCTGTCTTCAACGCTCACTTGTAGTAGTCTGTCTCACTGCCGGAGTTGGAGGAGTTCATGATTACACTTTTATCCGATCTGTACCTTTGGTAGCAACTTGCTCCAACACCGGCAGAGCTCCGCACGGGGGAATGCACGTTAACAACGACACCTGCATCTGTAAACAAGCCAAAAAGAGCAACACCGTTGTGTCAGCATGGAGGACTTAAATGTTTCCAGTCTTTCGTCAAACCCTAGGCCGTCTGTTGGGGCTTGTTCAACCGAAAATGCTCCTGTTTTTGGAAAAGCTCCGTCCCAGGTGACCGTGAAAAGACAAGCCGTGAAGAGACACCACCACAAACACAACCTGAAACACAGGTACGAGTTTCTGGAGACCCTGGGGAAAGGAACCTACGGCAAAGTGAAGAAAGCCAAGGAAAGATCCGGGAGACTGGTAAGAACTAACTATGTTATTTAATTACAATTGTACATACTTGTTTTGATCCTCAACACAGTCGGCATTGAAGTCTGTTCCTGTTCTGCGGCCCCATTAGCCATAGTTGCTTAGCGATTGAGAGCTGTAATGTTTGCACACATAATATGGATTTAAATTATTCAAGGCTGGCTTCCAGTTTCTCATTGTAAATAATTACAAACTAATAAAGGAGGTATGTTTGTGTCTGCTGCGGTTATTTCTTTGTAAGTTGACAAACCAGCTAATGTTTGCCCTCAGACTTCACTGTGTTTGTTTTAGGGGGGCTGCTCTTACTTTTCTCATAGTTTTCCTGAAAGCTGTGTCAAGTCCTTGCTTCTGATTAGATCACTGAATACGATGTTTATTTTAATATTTGCTCAATTGCAACCCTTATACTAATCTTAACATTGTATTATCACCAACTGTATCAGTGGATACCAAAACGTCTGGTTGACACTTTGTTTGTACTTTGCAATGTTAGTCCTTTGTTTGAACTAAAAGCAAATCATTAACCTCGTAATAATCATAATAATATAAAAATGAGAATAATTATTAAGCGGTGTAGTAAAATCAACATTTTCACATTGTGATACCAGTTCACACATATATGGTCCTGTGTGTGTGATAAACCTATGAATAAGTTATTTGTGATGTACTAAAACAGATCGCTTGAAAACAAATCACTACGTGTGTGTAAGATCACCCTGGATCCTGTAATGCTGTCACCGCACACTAAGTCACCTCCTTTTGGCCCCTCTTTGGCATTAAGACAATAAAGGAAAGGCGTTTTGTTGGAAAGGTTGTGTGACATTGTCTCAGCTATTTAAACAGGAAAGTTAGGTAACTTTTTGTGATAAAGCTGGATGGGGAAAATATCAGCCACTAGCAGTTTAGGTAAATTCCAGTTCCCTGGGACCTAAGGGGAAATGGGAGGAATTTAAAACCGACTTGACAGAGATAACCCTGAGGCACTGGGAGGAGTTGGCAAACACATGGAAATGCCGTTTTTGTTG